CTTTGATGACAATATTCGCAGCCAGCATGTATTTCTGAATTTGAGTTTTAACGACCTGCAATATTTATATGAAGAGAATGAGCCAGCAAGGAGAGGAAGGGCAACATAGAAGAAAAGAAGATACTGGGTAGCATGGAAGCCCAAAGAAGACAATGATGGCAGTTGACAGTACTATCAGAACCTATAAAGGCCAAAGGAAGGTGTAGGTAGAAAGGGTTTGTGGAATACCTGCTTTATTGGTTACCGGTGACCTTAGCAGTGATTGTGTGGGGTGGCAGCAGATGAACTAGTTAGATCAGGAAGCAAAGAAGTGGGGTATAGCAAGCACAGTCATCTATTCAATAACCCTAACTGATATTAAATAGGAAAATATTAGAAAAGGATATACTGAAAAATGAAGCGAGCTTGTTTGCACAAGTTGCTAGTATTTTGAAGTATATTTTCAATTCAGGATGAGTTATATTAAGGGAGAGATCCACTGTGGGCACCCAATTTGGTCAAGGGAGCTACTCTGGTGCAAGACAGTTCCCTTTTCGTCACTTCCTAATAGAAGTAGACAGTGAGCTGATTGGTGCTAAGCAGTTCAATCAAATGCTTAGGGTTGAAAATGATCTAATCAGGCTTGCAGGGTGGGGGACTCTGAAGTGGATATAAGGCAGGGCAAGAGCCCACTGAGTCAGTCAGCAGCTGGCCTCTGTAGAGTAAAGAAGGATCCATTAAACCATCTTCGAAGAAGGATTAAGCAGACGGGCTCGGAAGAGAGAGAAGCATCAAGCAGATGACCTGTGTGGGATTCACCAGCTCTCCATGGACTTCTAGATCTCTAGACCTCCAGACCTCTATAGACCTTTGCAGACACCTGGCCACTGCACCTGCCTCTGACATTACCTGCAAGGAACAGTGCTGGCGTGGGCCTACTATCTCAAATAACCATTCATTGTTGGTCTATGCCAACAGCTCATGAAGTGCTGTCTACAGCCTCTGGTTCTCTGGCACCACCTCCTGATGCTGATGAGTTCATCACTGTCTGGTCCAGCATCCAGGCTTCACACTCTGACTGTGGGCTGTGCAGTGTCACCTCATTTTCCACAAACAGCCTTTGTTTAGGACTTCTAGACACTGCAGACACTATTGGGAGTGATACAGTCAGCCACTGTGGCCTCAGAAACTCCCTTTCCCCAATCTCCTGTTTGTTACATAGACCTGTTGTTGGAATCTGAGCCTAGGTGATTTTGCAGGTGTACACATCGGTAAGAATCCACTGAGTGAACTGTCCCCCTCCTTAGGCACTGTCCCTTGGCACTATCTTGATACTGTTTTAGCACTGTTTTAAGTATCTTTAAGTACTGTTTCATTGCTGACTCAAAAACACAATATGTTAATTAAAGGATCTCAGGTAGCAATCACGGAATATTTCTTATGACAGATGAAGAACACAAATATTCTGAAGACCGAAATCTTATAAACAAAACAAAGAGACATTTTGTCCTTTTTCTGGCAATGCAAAATTAGTGAGAATGCAAACGAATATGCTGGCGGTAAAATTATACTATTAACCATCTGAAGATTGGGCTCATTACCTAAGAAGGCAAAGCATCAATTTGCAGCATTATAACATTCTGTTTGTGCTGCTGAACACGTGTTTGGATGTTTTTAGATGGTCTCTACTCGTTTGTGTGCATGGCAAGCACTTCTGCATTAGTCTCTTGAGAGATGCTTAATTTTGTATTGTTTCTATTATATTGTTTTCTCTAATGGAAATGATACTCTGTTTTAAAAATAAACACTCCATTTATGCTCCAAATAATTCTGGGTTTAGGGTTTTTTTATTTCTCATTATCAAATGGCATACACAGGATTATATCTATATCTTAAAAATTGAGATACCCTTTGATTTAAAATATTATTTTGGAAAAACATGTGAAAATTGAGCTAAGCACACTGAGAAATTCAAGAATGGCTGTGACATAGTCTCTGGCCTCAGGATACCCATCATGTGAAAGTGAGAGAATTTTTGCCTTCAGACAAAACAGCATAGTGCCATCAAATGCCAGAGAACATTTCATTCCACAAATATTTTTTTCACTACCTAGGAGGTACCAGGCACTGTTTGAGGGTCTGGTATATAGAAAGAAAAAAGATAGTAAAGGTGTCTGACTCATGCACCTTGCATCCTAGGAGAGAGATGGAAAATGAAGAAGAAAGCAAACCAACAATATACCTTCAGTAGCCATACATGCTATGATAGGTAAAGTCACATGAAGGGGTGATGAGGGGCAAGTGGTGTGACTTTGAGGTCACAGAGGTCTCTGTGAGGAGAGGACAGCTGAGTAGAGACTTGATGACATATAGAAGCTAGCTTGTGACATCACTGCCTTGGCACCTTCATCCTCTTCATCACAACTACTTCTTTATATCAATAAATTTCTTCAATAAGTTCCTCTGCCTGCATATTGAGAATCTCTAATGTGATGGTAATGTCAACATTCCTAAGGTGAGCTATTTCTTCTTAAATTCTATTTAGAGTATTATTCACACAGTATGGTAAAGATCCTGTGATACTATATGGATATTATTCACTGTTACTTCCTACCAGGATGCTTGAATATTTTTAGCTGTATGCTTTATATCATATTTCAAAACTTAGCTGTAGAAATTACAGGATACCCAGTTACAGTGGCAATAGCCTATACAAATGTCCATTAAAAAAAGGATGGAAATTGTGAAATAAAAGGAAAAAAAGAAGCAAGCATATAAATCAGAAGAAAAGCATTTCTAGTCAGAGAGACCAATTTGGAAAGATCTTGAGGCCAAATGAGCTAGGAATGTTCTGGAACAAAAAGAGCGCTACCTTATTACACTGTAGGAATAGGAGAAATAAGGTGGTAGAGGTGGGAGGGGGCCAGATCCTATACTGACTGTTGTATGCCATGATAAACATTTTATTCTAAGTGAGGAGGGAAGTCAGTGGAGATTTAAAGCAGAATGTGGTATGAGCTGATTAATGTTTTAGAAGAATTGTTCTGATTGTAGAAATCCAACTGTAGAGCAGTCAGAAAGGCAACTAGGGCAGAGGCTAGACATCTATGAGTCATCCAGGCTAGAGAGGACCAATGAGAAATTGACTCAGGTAGTCTACCCTGGAGGAGACAGATTAGAAACTACTGTGGCTCACTGAGAGGGAGTTAGTTTGGACAAGGGTGATAATTACCATGGTGGTAAAAAGTGGCTCCATTTAAGGGGAAGCTTCATAAAAGGAGGGTTATGGAATGGTTTGAGTTGAACTTTCAATGACAGACAGCACCATGCCATTTATTGATTTATTCCACACCCAGCACAGGTTGGGCAGCCTGCTAACTGTTGCGGACACAGCAATGCCGAAGCCCTGGCTGACAATGAGGGGAAAATTTGCTGAGGATTTAATATTCTAAGCAAAGATACAAAAGTGGACAGATGATCAACACAATTATAGGATTTACTTCAAGAATTAATTCTAAGGGCACTTTATTTCTTTCCCTTTTAGGGTAGAAAATCCTATGACAGAATTCCTCTGCATGCTTTACTGTCCTTGAATTTGCAAGTGTTAAGTTTTTATCAGTAGGAAATCAGTTCACTGTCAGTTGGCAAATTTCACTAGGTCAGTTCCTTAGAATTAGTGGTTAATATTTATCTTTTCCATTCTGAAGAGGAGAAATTATAGCCTCTTTAGAAAGGAAAAGAACAAAAGAGAATACAAAATATAAGATAAACTCACAGAGGTAGGTGCTGCTATTACTGTTTGTCTCATGCCCTGCCTCCAAATCCTGTCCCCAGATCTTATTTCCTAATGGATGATGTCACTTCAATATTCCCTCCCTTTCACTCCCATTATATACTGCTTCTAGAATTAACTGGTCCAAAGCAGCCCAGTTATGCCTGCTTCCCAGTGACTACAGAACAAATTTAAAATTCCTTAGCCTGCCACAAAGTGACTCAACCTATGATTTTTTTTTTATTTTTTGCTTTATCTCTGACTACAAGCTCCCCTTGCATTAATCACACTGGATTTTCTTCTTCTTTTCTTGAAATGGTTTTTTAAAGTTGTGAAATAATAACACATAACATTTACCACCTTCACCATTTTGGAGTGTATAGTTCAGTGCCAAGTAAGTACATTCACGTTGTGCAAATCCCACTGGCTTTCAAATCACACAGTATCGCTGTTCCTCTAGTGCTTCTGGTCCTGTGTTGTTGGACTGTACCTGTATTTATTTGATTCCTGCTGGCCCCTGAAATGCCTCTCCCTGTTCTTGGCAATTAAAATCCCACATATCTTGAAGACCAATGCCCAGATCCTACCTTTTGCTTTAGCTCTTAAGAAAGCTTATCTGGAAACAGAAGGTCAACTCGGTTGCTAGGTAACATGCTGCTTATAGTTAAAATGATACCTGGCTGGCAAATTGCATCTGGACCGGAAAGGATTTATATATGAACTATAAATACCTGATGGGGATGTGATACTTTGGACATCCCTGAGTGATGACTCACGTAATTAGGCAGGTCCCTTGTCCCTGGAAGCTAAGTCTGTGAGCTGTTACAAGAGATACTGCTTCATAAGGGACATGAACTTATAACCCAGGAACATTCATGCACCCACATTCCTGCCCTTGTCTTCCTGAGCCTGAGCTTTCACTTGAGGGGCATAGACTAATGTTTTTACTGATATGAGATCCCACTGAAGAGAAACTTGGAAGTTTCCCTGCTGACAGGCAGAGGTGTTTCCTGTGTGACATCCTTCTAGGTAAACCTAAAGCTGAGATTGGCACATAATTGAGTCTGAATGGTTAGTTGGATCTAAGACCAGCAGTTGGGAGTTGCACAGCTATGAAGAAATGGGTCCTAAACAATAACACGCTCTTGAATTAACCGGGAGTTAAAACTGTTGAGAGTTAAAATCACTTTGGTCCCTGTAGGTAAAAAACAAACAAGCAAACAAACAAAAAAAGCACAACACTGCTCACCTTTGGAAGGAGCTGGATTGCCTGTAGAATTCTCTGTCTATGCCCAGAATTAAGTATTCCAATTTCCAACAAATCCTGATCTTCCATAACATTGCTTCCCTAGAACAAATTCAGAAAGGTTACAAGTTAAAACAGGCAGTTTTTACTATGGGTAAATGATGATTCATTAAATATGAGAAAAGATAGCCAACAAATTATATGATTTTTATAAACAAAGACATTCTCCAATGAGGGAGCGAGCAGAGTAGATCACCTATATGACTGAGCTGTTCTGAGAAAGCTTCTTTCCCCTCACAAATATTCTCGTGACTTACTATTTAAGGTTGGATTCTCGGCACTGGGGATTCTATTCCTTTGACTTAAATCTTTGTATGATAACAATGTAAATGCTTCTAAGAAGGGTTGCATTTAGGATTATTAGTGACCAATACATCGGTGTGAATGAGTCCATTTGTTTTTTCCCCCTAAAAGTAGATTTTGAGAGAAATGCTGATGAAAAATACTAGGCATCTTAAAAGTGACAATAATTAATCTTAAAATACTGAATGCTAGGCCCCTAGTCAACATGTGGGTATAAAACAATGAATGTGATGCAGGCACCTGCTCACAGCTGTCCTTATTTCTTCCAGCTGAGTGATGCCAATGGACAGGTCAAAGGCAATTCAAATGCTGTGTGTGGACTTGCTGTGATGGTGACCTGCTTGAGAGCCCAGATGAGACCTGAGGTATGTTTTCAGATACCTCAAGGATGGTTCGGAGAGAGCATTCAAAAGAGGAAGGACAAAGGAGAAATGATGTGCTATGTCCTGTGGGTAACAAAGGGCATATTGTACTTGGAAGCATCGAGTTCTTGCATAAACCACAGAGAGAAGCAAAAGAGTAAGGCTGGAAAGGTAAACAGAGGCCAGACTGTACAAACACTGTGTGCTATGCTGAGGAATTTTGAGTTTATCCTGACCATATGGGAAGGCAGGACAGATTTTCAGAAAAGGAGTTACATGAGATTCCAAATTTGGAAAGACCAATTTGGTTTCTGTGACTGGATCTCATTTGCTTACCTATAAGATGACAAAGTTGAGCCATACATTCCAAGGACCAATCTTGCCCTGAAATTCCGATTGCAATGATTTTTTAGAGCTCTGATTAATATTCTAATCCAGACATTTATTGATTGCCTATTGTGTCTAAATTTCCATCTTTTGGGGTTTGTAAAGTAGAGTTTTCACTAAATTGAGGAACCTATAGAGTAGTTCAAAAGTTCAGATCACTTTGCTGGGCTAGTCATACTCTGCCTTCTTAGTGTGTAAGACAAAATCATTCATGTAGAGAAATTATGGAAGGCCTCCTTACGGAGAGCAGTGGGTATTGACAGCATGAAGGAGCATTCCTGGGGGCATGAAGATCATGAAGAAGTCACAGCAGTTGTTCTAGAGTAACTTGTTCTTAGCCTAAGGTAGTGGTCACGAGAGCTAGAAGGAAGTGGGTGGATCTGAGAACTCGCCAGAGGAGGGACTCATGGACTGAAGGAGTGAAATAAGGGATGTATGCATAATATGCATTAGTTCCAGGCTTGGGCAACAGGAGTGGATCATGATACCTTTTCCTGAGATAATAAAGGAGGAGGAATCATTCTAGTGTGGTTCAAAGTGAGACTAATGTCTTTCCTAGACAGGGACAGAATAGATGGATGTAAACAATTTAATATCAGGCTATGTTATAAATGGATAATTGACTGTTCTTAGAAAGATTAAAACTATTAGAATGCTACCAGAGGTAGGGATTTAAAATGGGCATTTACTGGATAAAAACATTCCACCTACTTATAGTATCATTCCTATGCTTAAGCTACCCTGGCTGTCTCCGAGGAGGCAGAAGTATCCAGGTATATAGCAACATGATAATGAAAAGCCTAATGAAAAACAAATAAAGCCAGCCCTGGCAACATGCCATAGGAAACACTGCGCTCAAGAAATTACTCAGTGCACACAACAGAGCATGGCTAAGAATATAAATGACTGCATTTGGAGAAAGCATTCTTATTTTCAGAAATGGACGGGTGTGTCACGGGCAGAGAATATGATATATCTCTGCATTGGACTTTCTTTTTGAGGGATTTTCCAAAAGGAGTTACCCAAGCTATTAAAAACCAAAGGTCAAAACCCAAAAAACATCTACATGTTAGAGCATCACCAGTTCTTTTGTGAGCTAAAGAACCACCCCACAATACTAGCTCATACAAAATACAGGCCCTTGTTTCTTTGTACAAACACAGTACATGAAGTATATATATACTATATATAGTTAATATGAAATTACCTGATTTTATGAAAAAACACTGATTTCAATGTTTGAATACTGGGAAGATTTGAATTAAATTTCTAAAAATGACTGCTTTCTTGCAATCATCAATGTACCATCTTCTCTACCTTTTATAAGAAAGGAAACTTTCTGAAGAATTGTGGAAAGGTAGAAGTCTTTCCTTTTGGTCAAATTTCCTAGCATACAGAATAATTAGCAAATACTTGAAAAATGAATGAAAATTATGGGGAGCACAATGTAAATGGTGAGGATGTGCCCAAGGGAAATGGTACTAATTATGGAAATGTAAAGAAAAGGATTCACTGTCACCAACAAGGCAGGCTGCTAGCAATTTTCTGTTTTCTCTCTTATTGTAATAATAGGGACTCCAAAAATATCCCAGTACATCATCCAGCCAGTCATTTTTCAAAATAGCAATATACTTGAGTCTATAAAGAGCTGGGTTCGAGTCTCATCTGGTTAAGGAGAGCCTCATCTGCTAATGCTTTCTGAGTAGAGTTCATTTATGTCCATATTCTGTGGAACCACCTCCAATACCGCTCTGTCTCACTCCTCACCTCCCCAGATCACATGCTATTCCCTACTCCTTCATCTCCCATTTGCTCCTTAACCTACCACAGTAAATTTTTACCTTCATTAACTCCATAGAATTTCTCTACCTTATGTTAAGAATGACCTCTCAATTACCATAACTACTCGATTCTTGTCAACTCTGACTTCAAGGACTTACTGGTCACATGGCTGATGACTATTGGATTGAACAAAGCAAATAGAGGCTATTTCCAGCATAGCAGAAAGTTCTAGTGCTTCTCTACAGTTAAAGACATTGAAGCTGCAGTAGAATCACATAAATGAGGGCAAAAATGGAGTCAGTGGGATCAAAACTGGAAGTCAAAAATACTCATGAATCATTTTCAGGATATAATTATGGTGTCTTTTAGTCAAAGTTCATGAACTTTAAATTTAGTATCTTTAGAAAATCCTCTTCTAAATTTTCAGTGTTAAATTGGTATCTGATTGCACTGTCATCAGTAATTATGGGACTAGAAACCCATGCTATCAAAATAATAAGTCCAACTGATAAATTATTTATATTTTCATAGCACAATATAACAGGCACACTGCACAAGGTATCTAGGGATTAGTAATTGGTAGATAAAGTTGTTTAGTTAGTTAATTATTGGAAGGCTGAAAGGTCCCAGACGGTGCTCCTAGAACAGCTATTTTTTTTTTGACGAGAGATGCATAATCCAGGGGTTTTTTTTTATTGCTTTCTTAAATCATGGAATGAAGAAAATTCATCAAATGTTTTATGTACTGAGAGCTCACAGCTACATTTTCTCTGATCATGGGAAGAATATCTTAGGTATTACATTTTTTTTCTGTTGTGATAAAATAAGGTGACCAAAGAGAATGAAAAGCAGAGTTTTGTACTTAATTAAAATAGAACAGCTATTAATTGAAAGCATCTCTCAAAAATATCTGTACTGTCTCTCTTATTTTAATAAGAGAGCATATCTGTCTCTCTTATTTTAATAAACTTAATACTACATCATATCCACTCAGAAACCTTTCCTTCACATTGCTTATTATGTAAAATGGTAAGGTTGAAAAGGTTGATTTCTTCTTAATATAAGCTTGCTTTGGATGTTATTTATTCTTTCTCTTTGGTCCAAAACTGAACAACATCAAGAGGATGTTGTTGATTCGAGAAATTTTCTTCTGCTCTATAATTAACTAAATTAGATTCTTCTCCACCATTTGTGTGACCTTAAATATTTAAAATAGAATATTTGTATAATAAAATGACACCAAGATCTTGCAAACTTGCACATGGGAAAACACATTTTTGGGTTTATTTCAATATAGTTTTTAAAAAATATAAATGACATGGCAGCAGAAAGCTGTTTGTAATTTTCTTGGAATAAAAATGCTACCTCTTAGTTTCTATAAAGGCTTTGAGTCAATTTGACATCAATTTACAATTTAGCCCAATGGATGTTTTTTTGTGTATGATTATGATAATTATGGTGATAACCAAATTTAAATTTCCTTCATGTAAGTTGTTTGGAACAAAGCTTTATTTAGCTTAATAGACAGAAACATGGGTTACCACAAATGAAGAGATAATGGATAATGTGCTGCTTCCGATTTTGATTCTCTCACACTGATGAAGTGACAGTGGAAGAAAATTCTGTAGTGTATTGTTTACCTCCATTTGAACAGATTCTGTGTACTGCAATGGGATTTCTTGTTCACAATTTAAAAATTTCTTCTAGATTCTTCAGACCACATGGACAAATATTACATGAATGAGTATTACATTACTGAACAATAAGTTAGAGAACATCTTATGTATGTAGATTATATATTTTAATAAACTAAATTATATCTTAGACTTATAAGATTAATATTTTATAGCTAATATGTTGATGATGAATTTTATGCCACCATTTTTTTTCCTCTTTATTTTTCAAGCCTATCTCCCCTTTGAGATATCTATTATGAAATGATAGGAAGAGAGGGAATTTAAGTAATCAGGTACTTATTTATTAATGTATTGGGCAGGGTTTTATAATTTCATAAATTATAATTATGATTCATTTGATAATCATGTGTTCACATACACATTAGAAATATGTCTTTATAAAAGATTGCAAAGTCATTTATACAGCTATTTACACTGTTTTGGGTCAAAAATTTCATAGCTGCTAGATAGGAGACCTATTTATTTTTAAGGATGCTGATTCACAACATCTGTAAATAAGAGGAAAAGCTGA